TGGCCCTGGCTGCAGGGAAAGGTCGGGGCTCGGCGGCGCAGCTCCGCAGCGTCCTGCGCGAGCTCTGCGCGCTGGCGCTTGCCTGCCGCCTGCAGCTGCACGTGCGGTGGGTCCCCAGCGAGCTCAATCCTGCCGACCGCCCGCCCCGCGGCTACCTGTGCATCGACGCGCAGAAGCTGGGAGAGGCGGCCGGGGAGCCGACGCCTGCTGCAGTTCGTGCTGCTGGCCTTGGCCCTCCCGATGGTGGCGGGCGGGATGAGAGGCCGCGCGCCGACGCTGGGGGCTGTGGCTGCGCTGGATCGCCCCCTGGCCCTGCCCAGTGCCGGGCTCGCGCTGGGGGCTGCTGCGGGGGCGGCCGCTGCTGCGCGATGCCGGGGGGCGGCAAGAGGTGGCGCTGGAGCCGGGGCTGACCTTCTTGGAGCAGAGGTCGGCTTCGAAGCCCGCGTTGGCGGACTACCGCAGACGGGCGCAGGCCTTCGTGACTTGGGCCTCCGAGAGCCGCCGGGACTGGAAGGACTCGGCGGAGCTCGACTCGGTGCTCGTGGAGTACTTCAACCTGCTCTACTTCCGGGGGCACGGCGGGGGCGATGCGTCCAAGTTGCTGGCGGCAGTGAAGTTCTTTGTGGCGAACCTGAGCAGGTGGGGCACAGAGAGCCCCCCTCGCTGCTCCCGGGCTCTGGCGGGGTGGGGCAAGTGCGTCCCGCGCCGCTCGCGGCCGCCCCTCCCCTGGCTGGTGGTGGCCGCCCTGGCGGGCGTGCTCCTGCGATGGCAACTGACGGAGCACGTGGTGGCGTTGATCCTGAGCTTCAGCACCTACATGAGGCCCGGGGAGGCGGACTCCCTCGTCGGGCTGCAGGTCGTCGAGGGCGTCGCGGAGGGCAGCGGCAGCGGCGGCGTCGCGGCGCTGGTGTTCTTCCCGGAGGAGATGGGGATGCCCAGCATGACGGGCATGTGGGGCATGACAGTGCCCTTGGACACGTTCCGCTTCCTCGGCCCGTCGCTCCTTGCCCTGAAGAGACGATGTCGGTCTCTGAGGGGCCGATTGTGGAGCTACCCCCCGGGCAACCTCGGCCAGAAGATGCGCGCGGCCGCGGAGGAGCTCGGCCTCGCCCTGGCATCTCCGTATCAGCTGCGGCACGGCGGGGCCTCCGACGACCTCGTGGCGCGGCGGCGGATCGCCCTGGAGATCCAGGCCCGCGGGGGCTGGGCGAGACCGCAGTCGTTCCTGCGGTGCGCCAAGCCCGGCCGGATCCTGGCGGAGATGGCGAAGCTTCCGGCCGGGGTGCTGGACTTCGGCCGGGCGGTCGACGCAGCACTGGCGGACATCTTCCTGAGCGGGGCGCCGATCCCGCCTCCGCCTGCGCGATCTGCCGCAGGCTCTTGCAGGACCTAAAACGATGTATGAGGGCCCCGAGGCATGCAGTGAAATATCGCACTGTTTTTCTGGAACTTTTTGCTGGATCCGGAGGCCTTTCTGCCCGGATATCGTCTCTCGGCCTGGCCGCGCTTCCCCTGGACTTCGACCAGGGGCGACGGCCCTGGCATGATCTGAGCCGCCCCGAAGTCCAGCAGATGGTGCTCGGGTGGCTCAAATCTCGAGTTATGCGAGCCGTCTGGTTGGGAACCCCATGTGCCTCCTGGAGCCGGGCGCGGCGCGGCCCCCCGGGGACCTCCTGGTGCTCTCTCAGGTCCGCTGCGTTTCCTCTCGGGCTCCAGGGGCTCTCGGGTAGACCCCTCCAGACCGTCCGCTCGGGAAATGCCCAGATGCGTTTTACAGTGCGGGTGATCAAGTTGTGCCGCCGCCTGTCTACCCCAGTGTATTTAGAGAATCCTGGGGCGTCGTTTCTGTGGGCGGCCCCGGCGGTGGCCGCCTTGCTCTCGAAACCCGATTGCATGACGTATATGCTGGATATGTGCTCTTTCGGGGCCCCGTGGCGAAAACGCACCCGGGTGACCTGCTGGGCCCCCTACCATCCTCCTTCCTCGCCTCCTTGTCTCTGCCAGGGGCGGGGTGGGATGTGCAGTTTTTCTAACAAGCGTCACATCGTTTTGACCGGCGTCGACCGGGCCTCCGGCATGCTCTGGACTCGTCAGGCCGAACCGTACTGTAAGAGATTTTGTCAATTCTTCGCCAGGATAATTCAGTGTCAGGTAGAGTGGATCGGTTTCAGCAGAATGTCAATGTTAGTTAATGTTGTTTGAGTGTTCGGCCCCGGGTGCGTGTGTGTGTACCCTCTCGGGTCGCCCCCGAGGCCATGTTGCCATTCGGGACTCGGGCGTGTCCCAGCGCGTTTTTTTTTTTTTTTTTTTTTTTTTTTTTTTTTTTTTTTTTTTTTTTTTTTTTTTTTTTTTTTTTTTATTTCCCCCCCCGTTCAGGCCCGGGTTCCACAGCGTCCCGGCCCCTGACCAGGCTGCCCAGGCCCCCGACCCACACAGCAAAAAGTGGAACGCAGCATGGGTGTGGCACGGGATAGCGTTGAGATGGTCTTGTCTCACTTGTCATCTCATTAGCGATTGAGTGCCGCGAGGGCTTATCCCCCGAAACTGTCTGGCTCAGTTCTCTCGCCCCTTCCCTCCCTCCCTGCTCGCCTCCTCGCCTCGTTTCGTGTCTCAGCGCGCTGAAATGTTTTCCTTTCGTTCGGGCCCGGGTTCCACGGCGTCCCGGCCCCTGGCCGGGCTGCCCAGGCCCCCGGCCCGCGCAGCAAAAAGTGGGGCGCAGCATGGGTGTGGCGCGGGATAGCGTTGAGATGATGATGGTGATGATGATGGTGATGATGATGATGATGATGATGATGATGATGCTTATGATGATGATGATTATGATGATGATGATGATAATGAGGTTGATGATGCTGATGCTGATGCTGATGCTGATGATGATGATGATGATGATGATGATGATGATGATGATGCTGATGATGATGACGGCGACGACGACGATGATGATGATGATGGCACAGATGTAGCTGATAACAACCATTAAGATGATGCTGGAGGTGATGGCGGTGACGATGATGATTATGGTTAGGATTGTGATGGTGTTGAGGATGGCTGTGCTTATGCTGTTTGTGATTATGATTGTGTTTGTGTTGGTGATGGTGGTGATGGTGATGATGATGGTGGTGATTCTGGTGATGGTGATGAGGACGATGCTGGTGGTACTGGCGATGCTGATGCAAATGATGCTGATGACGATGCTGATAGTGATGATGCTGATGATGCAAATGATGACGATGGTGATGATGGTGATGGTGATGGTGATGATGATGGTGGTGATGATGATGGTGGTGATGGTGTTTATGATGATGATGATGATGATGCAGGTGGTTATGTTAATGCTGATTCTGCGGATGATGCTGGCGCTGATTCTGATGATGTTGAGGCTGATGCTGTTGCTGATGTTGATGTTGGTGATACGGATGATGTTGATGATGATTCGGATGACGATGTCGATGCTGCCGATGATGATGCTGATGTTGCTGATGATGTTGGTGATGACGCTGATGCTGATGCCGACGATGGTAATGATGATGATCATCATCATCGTCATGATGATGCTGATGATGGTTTTGATGATGGTGATGCTGATGCGGATGCTGCTGATGATGATGTTTCACATAATGATGATGATTATGCTGGTGATGCTGACGCTGACGCCGATGACGGTGGTGGTGGTGATGGTTGTGGAGGCGCCCCCCACGTTCTTCTTCCCGCCTCTGTTACCTTTACCTTTCTCCTCTCTTCCCCCCCCTCCCTTTCCCCCCCCCACGTCTCTCGGTCTCCTGCCCTCGCCCGCCTCCCTTTCGTCCTCCTCCCGCCCGCGCCCCGCAGCACCGCGGCCCGACTTTCTGCGCGCCCCCCGGTGCGCGCGGCGACGTCAGACGAGCGAGATGTCCGACCTCGGCGGCTCGGAGCGGGCCCCGCTTTGCGGCCCCGGCGAGCCGGCCATCGAGCTCGTCGACCTGGCGCCCGGCCCCCCCGCGGAGGGCGGCGCCGGCGCGCCCGCGCTGCCCCCCGGGGGCGGCCCGCCCGAGAGCATCGCGCGCCGCTGGGGCGCCCGTCTGGCGCTGCTGGCGCTCGCCGTCCTGGCCGCGGCGGGGCCCTTCGGTTGCTTGTTCGGCTTGTTCCCGTACAGTGACATCGACGCGCCCGTGAAGTTCGCGGGCGCGCCCGCGTCGCTGGCCTTCGCGGCCTGGTGCGTCTGGGCGCGCGGGCGCTTCGAGGGCGGCTCGCCCCTGCACGTGTGGACGCGGCGCTTCGGGGTGTGCGCCGCGCTCCACGGGGCGGTGGGCATGTTTTTTGGACATCTGACTGGGGCGGGGGGCATGTTTGATATCATCACCCACTATGCCACCATTTTCGTGCAGTGGCACCTCCCGGTCCTGAAGCTCCGCGCGCTGGGGCGGCCCTGCCTCGCCCATGCAGTGCGGGCGGCCCTCTGGGGGGGCGAGATCAGCGCGGCGGTCCTCTGCTTATTCATATGCCTCGTCATACTGCGCCAGACCGTTTTCGCAGGTCGCACCAAGTCACCCCAACCCAACCCGAAGGCCCCGATTTGCCCTACCCGTATCCACCCCAACCCGAAATTCAGGCAACGTTCGGGTCTTCGGGTTAGGTTGGGGTGGTTTGGAAGGTCCTGAAAGTTGGGATCCGCCGTGGATGTTGTGGCTGTTGTATGCGTTGGTCCACTGTGCGTTCTACATTTTCCAGGGCGTGGGGTTCTGCTGCGCGGCGTGGGGGCTCCTGTCCGCCGCGTGTCGGGGCCGGCGCTCCCGGCGCGCGGGGGCGGCCCGGGCGGCCGGGTGGGTGGGCGCCACGGGCGTCGTGTCGTGGTCTTGCTGTCCCTGGCCGCCTCGTACGCGCAGGTCTGCATGCTGTTTTCCCCCCGATGGGGTGCGATGGCCGCCCCGATGGCGTGCGACAACGTCCTCATGTGTCTCTCCGCCGTGTTCCTCTCTGGGCTGGAGGGCCCCCCCTGGGTGCGGCGGCTGGCGCAAGAGGCTTTCGGGAAGGTCAACTCGTACGAGCACGGCCAGCTGCAGGCGTTCTACGAGGAATTCCTGGCCTACCTCGACCTGGCGCAGGTGAAGTGGGTCAAGTGCGGCTACCTCAGGCCTCGGCGGCAGGAGGGGCGGAGGAGGAGAGAAGGAAGAGGAGGAGGAGACGAGGGAATGTTAGGCGGATGAAAAGGAGGAGTAGGAGGGGGTTCAGGAACCTTAGGCAGGATGAGGATGAAAAGGAGAAGAAGGATGAGGTAATAGGCTCAGGAAGTGGAGGGAGGAGGAGGAGGAGGAGGAAGGAAATGAGCCGTGACAGGAACAACACGAGCAACAGGGTAATGAGAAGCAGGATGAGGAGAAGGAGGAGGAGGAGGCTCAGGAAGTGGAAGAGCATGATAATGAGCAGGAGGATCAGGGATCAGGAGGACGGAAAAGAGCAGTAATATAGACGCGCAAGGACACGGAAGCTGAGCAGCAGGCGGAGGAACATGAAGAAGACGACGAGGAGCATGATGATGATGTTCATGGCGATGACAATGACGGCAAGGACAATGATGTTGATGATGCTGAGGCTGTTGATGATGAGGATGCTGATGATGATGAGGATCATGATGTTGATGATGATGATGCTGCTGATGATTCTGCTGACGAGGATGATGACGACGACGATGCAGATGACGATGATGATGAGATGCTGATAATGATGATGTTGATGATGCTGCTGCTGATGATGATGATGATTATCATGATGATGATGATGGTGATGCTGATGCTGATGGCGATGGTGATGATGCTGATGATGCTGATGCTGATGATGTTGATGCTGATGGTGGTGATGATGATGGTGATGACGCTACTGATGAGAAGGATGATGATGACGACGATGATGATGATACTACTGATGATGATGCTGATGATGATGATGATTCAGATGATGATGACGACGATGCTGATGGCGATGCTGATGCTGATGCTGATGCTGATGCTGATGCTGATGGCGATGACGATGATGCTGATGCTGCTGCTGATGATGCTGCTTATGACGATGCTGCTGCTGCTGATGATGGTGATACTGATGATGTTGATGATGCTCATTCTGATCATGATGAGGACGCTTATGAGGATAGGGATGATGACGATGGTGATGCTGAGGATGCTGAGGATGATGATGATGATGATGATGATGATGATAATGATGATGATGATGATGCTGATTCTGATGATGGCGATGATGATGACGATGATGATGATGATGATGATGATGATGATGATGATGATGATGATGATGCTGACGATGCTGATGCTGCTGATGATGATGCTGATGATGCTGATGATGCTGATGATGCTGATGCTGCTGATGCTGCTGATGATGCTGCTGATGCTGCTGATGATGATTGTGATGATGATGATAATGATGATGATGATGATGATGATGATGAGGATGCCGATGATGATGCTGATGATGATGATGATGATGATGATGATGATGATGATTATGATGATGATGATGATGATGATGATGATGACGATTATGAGGATGATTATGATGCTGATGATGATGCTGATGATGCTGTGATGCTGATGATGATGATGTTGATGAGACGATGATGATGATGATGATGATGATGATGATGATGATGATGATGATGATGATGATGATGATGATGATGATGATGATGATGATGATGATGATGATGATGATGATGATGATGATGATGATGATGATGATGATGATGATGATGATGATGATGATGATGATGATGATGATGATGATGATGATGATGATGATGATGATGATGATGATGATGATGATGATGATGATGATGATGATGATGATGATGCTGATGATGATGATGATGATGATGATGATGATGACGATGCTGATGATGAGGACGACATGAGGGGGAGGAGGACGCTCAGGACATCGAGGAACAGGATGAGCAGGAGGAGAAGGCGGAAGGACAGGACAAGCAGGAGGAGGAGAAGGCGGTGGAGGGGGAGGTGGAAGAGGAGGTGGAGGAGGAGGAGGAGGAGGAGGATGAGGAGGAGGAGGAGGAGGAGGAGGAGGAGGAGGAGGAGGACAAAGCAGAGGAGAAGGCAGAGGTGGAAGGGAGGCCCTGGGGAAAGAGAAGGAGGAAAGGGGCCACTTTGAACGGGGGGTGAGGTGGGGGCGAGGTGCGGGTAGAGCGGGTGAGTGGGGGGTGGCCGCTGGGGGGAGGGGCGGGAACAGGGAATGGGGGAGGGATGGCCCAGAGGGGGCGCAGCAGGATGAGGAAGAAGGGAATGGGGGAGGATTGAGATTGGGGGGAAGGGGAGGGAAGAGAGATGACTCTCTGGTTCCCGCTGAACCGTGGGTACACCTGCCTCAGGCGCTTAGCCGAATCTGGAAGGATCATGGTGCGGTGCCAGGAGGTGCCCCTTGAGGAGGGAGGCGTTCATCGGCAGCATGGGCTTCCCGCGAACCAGAGGAGAGGTCCTTGTCGAGAACAGATTCGTTCTGTCGCACCCCTGGCTGTCGAAGAGTCACCCCGACCCCAAAGGGACGAAGCTGCAAGTGCTGGTGCAGCAGCTGAAGATTTTGCACGCGTCCGACGACGATGCAGTCTTCATCGACTATCCAGTGGCGCTACCGCGCATATCCCCCGCTACCCCGCTTGGAGAACCAGCGTGGGCGGTCGCAGGGGTCCTCGGGCCTTACAGTGGGCCTTGGGGCTCTTGGGGGTGCCCAGGGCCCGTCCTGGGGTCTTGGGGCATTTTTTTTTGTTGGGGGGGGGGACGGAGTGGGCTTGGCGCCGCCCTGGGCTGGTCTCCGGCCATCTCTGGGCTGTCTGGGGGCCGCCTCGAAGCCGCGGGGCCGATGTGGGCGCCGTCCGGGACGGCCCCGAGGGCCGCCCGAGGCCAGCCGAGGGGCATTTTGGAGCCCTTCCAGAGCGTCGGGCCAAAACCATGCCAGCTTGGCAATCCTGCGAGCTGATCGGCCCGCCGCGGCCAGTACTAGATGATACGATCTGCGGGCCGTCAAGTCGTGACATTGCCGTTGCGTGCCCCCGCCTCTGTGTCATGGGCGCTTTTTTCATGGCGTTTTCATGCATCTGCATTGGCAGCGTTGTCTCTGCTTCGCGCCCTGCTTGCACTTTGCCCGTGATGCGAACGGCACTCGCACGAGCTACAGGCATGTTGATGTTTGCGATACTATCAAAAGAAAACGCGGCCGCGGACCCTGGAGCCTCGCTCGGGTCCGGCCGCGGACCCCGGAAGCGCTGGGCGCTTTGCCTCGAGGGCACTGGCCTGTCCTTCCCCCGTTCCCGCGGCCGCCTCCCTCGTCTCGCTCCCCGCTCCTGCTGGGCGCAGTTCACGCTCGGGTGCGTCCTGCCGGCGTTGACCGTGATGGACCGTGCCCATCGCTGTTGACAAAATAAAAGGACTGGCATCACAGGGACCTTCTGGAGGGCTCAATTGGGGGCCTTTTGAAGTGCCTTCTGGGAGCCTCGGCGTCGCCCTGGGCGGTCTCCAGGGCATCGGGGAAGGTCGTGGGGCCGTCTCGCAGGGTCTCCAGGCTGTCTCCTGGCGATCGGCATCATGCCTGTGCAGCCAGTCATTAAGTATCCGTGTGAGGAGCTGGTTTTGGGTCGGTCGTGGCCGTCTTGTAGCAGTCAGGGGATCTCTCCCGCTGGGATTCCCAGGGCACCCTTGGGGCTGAATCGCTCCTGCATCAGTCACCCTACTTGGCGTGAGCTCGCGCACTTCGCGCATCCGAAACCCTCGAAATGCTGAGGCCCGACGCCAAACATGATGTAGCGGAATCCGATTATTGCTTCGCAAGAAGAGCAATCTCAGAAGCCACAAGGGGCTGCTCCATCCGGACCTACTGCGCTGCAGGCGTGGTGGCGAATATGGGGCTTCCTTGAGAATGACAAAATGCACCCCGACTACGATCTGTGGGAGAAGGAGAACAAGGTGCCCAAACCTGGAGAGCACCCTGCTGTCCGCACGAAGGAGGAAGAGGCCTTGTTCAAGAAGGCTCTCGGATCGATGGAATTGATTTACAGTATGGGTAACACTCCCGTGATCGTCCTGGCCATGGACGACGAGGTCGTTGCTGGTACAGAGTATTTCTCGCGGGGCTGGTGCTTCTTCGAGTTTTCTCTCGCATTCAGCTTCGACAACATTACGAACGCTTACATCTGCCCCTCCGTGCGGCGGATGTACGAGCGAGCTGCCGAGCTAGAATTTGACACAGTCGAGGGCTTCAGAAAGGTTTTCAAAACGACCCACTTCACGAACAAGGGCGACGAGGAAACTGTGTTCAACCTGTTCAAGCAGACTGTGAACAAGAAGGTGAGGGTTGCAGCTCTGGGCGCTGATGAGCAGGCTTAGGAAGTCCGTGTGAACATTGCCAAGCGCCAAGCCTAGCATCGCGAGCTATTTACGATGCTCACGTCATTCCGCCGACCCCAAGAAGAGGGAAAGAGTCCACGGTGAGGCTTTTGGGGATCTTTTGGAACCGTTTGGGGGCGTTTTTTTTGGCCTCTTGGGGGCCTTTTGGGGGCCTCCTGGGGCCTCTTGGGAGGTTCTTGGGCGCCTGCTGGCGGTCTCTGGGGCCCTTGTTAGGCAGAGGGCTCGGAATTTCAGTTTGAGTTGCCCCTCTTGGGCCCCTGGGGGCGTCTTGGGCGCCTCTTGGGCCGTCTTGGTGCGATCTTGGGGGCCTCTTGGGCCGTCTTGGAGCGTATGGAAGTGGAAGAGGCGAGAACGCTCAAATCCGTCAACAACCTGATGGAAATGAGCACATGTTGCGTCTTGGGGCCTTCTCGGGAGGGCTCCTGGAGGCCTCTTTGGGCGTCTTGCATGCCCCATGGGCTGTCAGGAAGCCGTCAGTGCGTCTTGGACAGAGCCTTCGGCGATTCGGGGCCTTCCTGGACCGTCTCAGGGCCGCTTCGGGCACTCTTTTGACCCGTCCCGTGCTTCTTCCCGGAAGCGGCGCGGGCCCAGGGTTCTCTTTTAGTTCTGTTTCCCCCCCCGGTTTCGACGGGAAGCGGGCCGGCGACATTATTTGCGATAAATATCGAGATGGAGGAGGAGGAGGAGGAGGAGGAGGAGGAGGAGGAGGAGGAGGAGGAGGAGGAGAAGGAGGAGGAGGAGGAGGAGGAGGAGGAGGAGGAGGAGGAGGAGGAGGAGGGTGGGAAACATCAGTTTCGCGCGTGCCCGCCCGCTCGAGGAAAATGCGCCCCCCGTGTCGGATCCTCGTTGCCTGACGGGGTCCGCAGACCCCCGCCATCCTGTGTAGGGTGCGGCGCGTTTTGCGCAGAGTCCCAACGAAATAACGAGGTATGGAGACCCTGAAATCTTCGACGGGCCGTTTTGAAAGTATGGGGGAGTTGATTTTTCGCGTGCCCGAGGATGGTGAGTCCGCGCGCGCGAATTTCGAGGATGTTTCGAACCCTGCGTTTGTTTTGCAGGAGGGTTGGCTTTGCCCGGAGAGGGCTCCGGTCCAGGGTTCTCTTGTAGTTCCCGGAAGGGGCGCGGGCCCAGGGTTCTCATTTAGTTCTGTTTCCCCCCTGTTTCGGCCGGCGAAATTACTTGCTGTACATAACAAGGGAAAGTCCCATTCGGCGTGGAACAACTGAGGATGTTCCTAGCGAAGCGTGCGTTTTATATACATGTGTTGAGGATGTCTCATGCGAAACGTTGGTTTTGCAGAGTTTTGGGATGTCTCGAGCGGGGGCTTCGTCGGGGGCCAGAATTCAGAGGATGTCTCAGGCGAAATGTTTGCTGTCACGTGCCCGTGTCGCCCAGGGGGTATCTAACATGGCTGCCCCTAGCTGGCGCCCTAGACGACCGCATGTTAGAGATCTCCCCTGGGTGGGCTGCAACCGGGTGTTTTCAAGTGTCCAGGCCACCCAGGGGAGTATCTAACATGGTGGTCCCGAGCTGGAACCACGTGTTTTCACGTGTCCAGGCCACCCAGGGGTGTGGTTGGTTTCGAGCGAGAAAGTCTTGGGTGCGGGGTCCCAAAAACTGAGCTCTTGCGCAGGGGTGCCAGGACGTGGTGGGGGCGGGGGGGGAGGGGGGCGATCGGTTGCGGACGAGAAAGTGTTGGGGGGAGGGCCCAAGAACAAAGCTCTCGTGGCGTGGGGTGCCGAAACGTGGCGGTCGGTCTCGGGCGAGGCAGTGTTGGTTGGGGGTTCCGAAGAACGTCATCACTGTAGCAATCAATCGCCGCACCAGTCACGACCCGTATGGTTGGCGCGAACTTAGTGGGCCCTGGAAACGACAAGGCCGTTTTTTTGCCCGTTCCGTTTTGCCGTTTTTTACCGGAAAGGGCGTCGGCCCAGGGTTCTCTTTTAGAGGTTTACCCCCGGATCTGACGGCTGTAGGGCCGGCGAATTTCTCTTGCTATGAATAACGAGGTCGCGTAGGGCCGGCGACATAAAATTTGAGGATGTCCCTAGCGAAACGCTGATTGTTCAGAATTTGTTGAGGATGTCTCGAGCGAAACGCTTGTTTGTGTTATAGATTGTCCTCTCCTGGGGACCTGAATTCAGAGGATCTCTCACGTGAAATGCTTGTTTTCACGCCTCCAGGTGGCCCAGACAGATGTCTAGCATGAGGATTTGTTGAGGATGTCTCGAACCAGAGGTTTGTTTTCACGTGTCCAGGTCGCCCAGGCGGATGTCTAGCATGAGGAGGTGTTGAGGAAGTCTCGATCGAGACGCTTGGTTGCACGTGTCCAGGTTGCCCATGCGGATGTCTAGCATGAGGATGATCTGAGAACGTCTTGAGCGAAACGCGTGTTTTCACGTGTCCAGGTCGCCCAGGCACAGCACAGCCCTCGGCACGGTATATCAATATCGATACCCTTAACATTGCAGCCTGGCATGTTGCCTGGCACGTTCCGCGGAGCGTCCTGTGGCGAGTCCCCCTGGCACGTCGCGCGGTGCACGTCCATTGGCACGTTCCGTAGCGCGTCCCCTTGGCACGTCCCGCGGTGCGTGCCCATGGCACGTCCCCTGGCACGTCGCCTGGCGCGTCCCTTGGGACGTTCCGCGGCGCGTCCTCCTGGTATGTCCCCTCTGTCGATTGGTTCTGGGGCAGCTACCATCTGCTCAGGCAGCTCGAGCTTAAGATCCAGATCAGTTCGGTCAGGTCTCGGATGTAAAGAGGACTCGATCCACACCGCTATATAGAGCACAATCGCGGCATGGCACATCACAGCGCAGCCGTCGGCACGGTACATCAAGATCGATACATTCAACATTGCATCTTGGCGCGTTCCTTGGCGCGTTCGAGTCCACCTGGCACGTCGCGCGGCGCGTCCCCTGGCACGTCCCGCGGCACGTCCGTTGGCACGTTCCGTAGCGCGTCCCCTTGGCACGGCCCGCGGTGTGTGCCCATGGCACGTCCCCTGGCACGTCGCCTGGTGCGTCCCTTGGGACGTTCCGCGGCGCGTCCTCCTGGTATGTCCCCTCTGTCGATTGGTTCTGGGGCAGCTACCATCTGCTCAGGCAGCTCGAGCTTAAGATCCAGATCAGTTCGGTCAGGACTCGGATGCCAGGGAGGACTCGATCCACAACGCTATATAGAGCACAATCGCGGCATTGAGCATCGCAGTTCAGCACGGCGTAGCACAACACAGCCCTCAGCACAGTACATCAAGATCGATACATTCAGCATTGCATTTGCCCGTCGCCCAAGCAAGTGTCTTTGAAACGTTGCCATGCCCTACATTTCTACATTCCTTTCCGGGTTCGTCGATCATGTTTGCCGGTTCCGACGCCGGTGTTTTACCAGTTCCGTCGCCGTTCTTTTACGGGTACCCGCTCGGCTCCAATCCTGGAGCCGTTTTTGTTGCCGTTTCCAGTCGCCGTTTTCTTGCCGTTTCCATTTTCAAGGGACACTTTTGTCGGAAGCGGTGAAAAAACGGCCCTGCCGTTTCCGGGACCCACTAAGGGCGCGAAAGCCTGACTTGTCGCAGTCATTTTGGCTCAAAATGGATTGCCCGATCTGCAGCGAAGCTTCCGAGGGCACGCGTTGGGCTTTCAGATGTGGCCACGCGGCTCACGTACGATGTGTTGCTCTGTATATACGTTCACAAAATTCTTGCTACCGTGACTTTTCCCAGGGTGCTTCGTGTCCTCTTTGTCGCTTCGAATGGGATGGGGGTGACTTTGACTTCTGGGCGGACATGATTAGCAACGAAGGCCTCAATTTCGACAACATGTCAGAGCCAGACTCTACTTCGCCCGAAGATGATCAGTTCGTGCCAGATGAACCAATCCCAGTTTGCTGTCTTCGCTTGCTTTGCGTAGGTGGAGAGTTCATAGCATCGACGGACAGGAGGATGAGATGGAACCAGCATGGGCACAACTATGAATGTTTAGCGTGCTCTCAGACATATACGCCAGACCATCTGCCACATACTTTTGCAAACACGTGGTGTCCGATCCATGGCTGGCGGGTGCGGCTTAAAGACCTAAACGGCGACCTCAATTCCAGGTGGTTGATGTGCTGTGCGACAGCCAATACCGATGACGTCCCCGAGCCGAGTCGCACCTGTGGAGCGCGCCCAGCGGTGTTGGCGGCCATCAGGGCCGACGCGGGCGGCGACGACATCTCGATCAGCAGCGCAATTCCAGCAGACACGGAGGACGTGGGATCGGTAGCTGAAGCAGGACCCGATGCTGATGAAAAAGGAGCGAGCTCCAAGCAATCGTTGCTTCTGAAGAGCGCGAGGCGCTTCCAAACGCTGCATGTTCTTAAAGTATGCGGTGGGAGAGTTCGTAGCCCCCTCCATCATCGTCATTTCAAGTACCAACTACCATCATGTTAGACATGGTCATGACGCTGCTGATATCCCACAGCTTCCTATAGGCCCCGTCAGTGTTTATCGGCATCGCCACATCAACATCATCAACGTCATAAGCATCATCGCCATCTCCACGAGCCGTCTTGGCCGATCAGAAGGGGATCCACCATGTCTTGGCCGACCCCGCTCCCATTTTTACTCCGCCTTCTCCGATGATTCCTCCCGCGCCATTGCAGACGGAAAGTGGCGCGGTTGTCGTTCATCCTCTGGCGGCACCTTCTGAAGAAGCGCCCAATGGCCCATCATGCAGCTTTCTCGTTGAGGCCAGCAGCGGGCAGCTCGTCAACGACGCGTCTAAGCTCAGCCGCTGCAGCCAGCTCTTCAGCATCGGCCCCAAGTTCAGCGACAGCCAGACCCCCAGCAAGGGCGCCCAGTTCGACAGCCAAGGCCAGGAGAGACGAAGATCAGAGCTGACCAACGGAAGGAGCCCAGATGGGCTGCCAAGGAGAGGAAGGACCGGCGTCGCGGGCGCCAGATTCACCAGCTGCGAGCCCCCGCTTCATTTATGGAAAAAGCAGGCGCAGCCGGGCTCGAAAACATCGAACCAGGCCCCAAAGCGAGCCGCCCCGTAGAAGCAAACAGGTTGGTCGATCAGGTCGGGGCGCGAGCCTGACCTTGGTCTGGCCTCGTTCGCAACATCATCGTCGTCATCATCTTCATCAGCGGCGTCGTCGTCGTCACCGGTAACATTAACTTCATCGCCATTGGCATCATCGTCGTCATCGTCATCATTCACCTGGAGGTGTCTCGATCACCGCCGCAGAAAATCAGATGTCTCCTGTTGTATTCCATGAAATGAGCATGCAACTTCCTGTTGCGAAGGCCTTGCGGCTGAGCTCGCCGCCCCCGGGGGAGCGGGCGAATGTCGATGAGCAAGAGGAGATGGGGTGGTTGGGGGGGTGCGTGGGTGGGGCGACGAGGCAGTGGGTGGAGGTGGGGGGGGGGGGGGGGAAGGAGGGAGAGGTTGAGGAGCTGGAGGAGATCGGGGGGGCGGCGACGGCGGCGGCGGGCGGGGGGGGGGGCGAGGGTGATTGCGAGTAGGCGAGTAGGTGGGCGGTGGATGTAGCCCTGGCGAGACTCGGACGTTCTGTGATGCCTTATGGTCGCAATAACCATGTCGGCCCGCAAGTTTCGCAATCTTGCGCGCGTCGAGGACGCCGCGCTATGCGCCGCGAGGATAAGTGGCAACTCTGCGCCGCGAAATCTAGCGACCGCTATGCGCCGCGAAAACCAAGTGAACGCTGTGCGCGGCGAGCGCCAGGTAAACGCTTCGCGCCGCCAAAACACGCGAACGTTCTGCGCCGCGAAAACAAGCGCACGCTAGCCGTGGGCACAAGTGAGCGCGATGTGCCACGGAAACAAATAAACGCTATTCGCAACGAAAACAAGAGAACGCCCTGCGCCACGGAAACAAGTAAACGCTATGCGCCGCGAAAACACATGAACTCTATGCGCCGCGGAAACCAAACAAACGCAATGCGCCACGAACAGAATCAGTGAATGCTACGCGCCGCGAGAACAAGTAAACGCTATGCGTCGCGAAAACAAGTAAACGCTACGCGCAGCGAAAACAAGTAAACGCCATGTGCCCACGAAAGCACGCAACGGAAGCCAGCCGCAGCTGAACCAATGCAGAAACCAGCATGAGCTCTGCCCATCGATGACGCGACTGGCAACGAGGGCGACGACGCGACGCGGAGAAACCGCCTTTTGGCAAGGCGCTGAAGACGGCTGACCACGACGAGACGATCCAGATGCATACTCACGAGATCCCCGCAGCAGAGAGGATGATCTCCGAGGTCGGGCGGAAGAGCTGCGCGCTGGAGACGAAGACGACCGCGAAGATCCAGGTCGCGCTGAACAAGCGCGTTTTTTTTACGTCGCGAGCGTGAACCCAGGTGGTTTCGCACTGGCGCAGAAGTGACATCCATCTTGGCTGGCCGAGAAGAGGGACCGTGGCCCTGGAGCGCGAATCCTGCACACTTTCCGTAGGGCCGTTGCCCTGGGAGCGCGAATCCAGTGTAATTCTTGAGGGACCGTGGCATTGAGAACGTGACTCCCGCGTAATTCACGAGGGGCCGCTGCCTTGGGAGCGCGGGCGTCGTGCTCCGTGGCGCGTTCCCTGGCACGTCCACTGGCGCGTCTAGTGGCGCGCCCCCGTGGCACGTCACCGCGCGGAGCGGCGCAGCACAGAGACGCACAACACAGCCCCTGGCACAGTAGCATCGCCATCGGTACCTGGCACGTTCCCTGGCGCCTCCCCTGGGCACGTCGCGCGAAGCGTCCCCTGGCACGTCCCCTGGCACGTCCGCTGGCACGTCCGCTGGCGCTTCCCCGTGGCACGTTCCGTGACGCGTCCCCTGGCATGTCACCGTGCGGCGCGGCACAGCGCAGGGAGGCGTAACGCAGCCCCTGGCGCAGTATCATCACCATTGATACCTGGCACGTTCCCTGGCGCCTCCCCTGGGCACGTCGCGCGACGCGTCCCCTCGCACGTCCCCTGGCACGTCCGCTGGCACGTCCACTGGCACGTTCCGTGGTGCGTCCCCCTGGCACGTCCCGCGGCGCGTCCCCTTGGCACATCGCGCGGCGAGTCCCATGGCACGTCCAGTAGCACGTCCACTGGCACGTCCCGTGTCGCGTCCCTTGGCACGTCACCGCGCGGCTCGTCACAGCGCAGCGAAGCAACACAGCCCCTGGCACAGTAGCATCACCAATGGTACCTGGCACGTTCCCTGGCGCCTCCCGTGGGCACGTCGCGCGAAACGCCCTTTTGGCACGTCCGCTGGCATGTCCCGTGGCGCGTTCCCTCTGGCACGTTCAGTGGGGCGTCCCGTGGCGCGTCCCACTGGCACATGGCGCGGCGGGTCCCCTGGCACGTCCCCTGGCACGTCCACTGGCACGTTCAGTGGCGCGTCCCCTGGCACGTCACTGTGCCACTGTGCGGCGCGGCGCAGCACAGAGAAGCGTAACACAGCCCCTGGCACAGTAGCATCGCCATCGGTACCTGGCACGTTCCCTGGCGCCTCCCCTGGGCACGTCGCGCGACGCGTCCCCTGGCACGTCCCCTGGCACGTCCACTGGCACGTCCGCTGACGCGTCCCCGTGGCACGTTCCGTGACGCGTCCCCTGGCATGTCACCGTGCGGCGCGGCACAGCGCAGGGAAGCGTAACGCAGCCCCTGGCGCAGTATCATCACCATTGATACCTGGCACGTTCCCTGGCGCCTCCCCTGGGCACGTCGCGCGACGCGTCCCCTCGCACGTCCCCTGGCACGTCCGCTGGCACGTCCATTGGCACGTTCCGTGGCGCGTCCCCCTGGCACGTCCCGTGGCGCGTCCCCTTGGCACATCGCGCGGCGAGTCCCATGGCACGTCCAGTAGCACGTCCACTGGCACGTCCCGTGTCGCGTCCCTTGGCACGTCACCGCGCGGCTCGTCACAGCACAGAGAAGCACAACACAACCCCTGGCACAGTAGCATCACCATTGATACCTGGCACGTTCCCTGGCGCCTCCCCAGGGCACGTTGCGCGACGCGCCCTTTTGGCACGTCCGCTGGCACGTCCGCTGGCATGTTCCGTGGCGCGTCCCCCTGGCACGCTCCGTGGCGCGTCCCCCTGGCACATCGCGCGGCGAGTCCCCTGGCACGTCCATTGGCACGTCCCGTGTCGCGCCCCTTGGCACGTGACCGCGCGGCGCGTCACAGCACAGGGAAGCACACCACAGCCCCTGGCACAGTGGCATCGCCATCGGTACCTGGCACGTTCCCTGACGCCTCCCCGGGGCACGTCGCGCGACGCGTCCCCTGACACGTCCCCTGGCACGTCCGCTGGCACGTTCCGTGGCACGTTCCGTGGCGCGCCCCCTGGCGCGTCCCGTGGCGCGTCCCCTTGGCACATCGCGCGGCGAGTCCCTTGGCACGTAGCTTGGCACGTCCATTGGCACGTCCCGTGTCGCGTCCCTTGGTACGTCACCGCACGGCGCGTCACAGCGCAGCGAAGCAACACAGCCCCTGGCACAGTAGCATCACCAATGGTACCTGGCACGTTCCCTGGCGCCTCCCGTGGGCACGTCGCGCGAAGCGTCCCCTGGCACGTCCGCTGGCACGTCCGCTGGCATTTCCCGTGGCGCGTCCCCTCTGGCACGTTCAGTGGGGCGTCCCGTGGCGCGTCCCCCTGGCACATGGCGCGGCGGGTCCCCTGGCACGTCCACTGGCACGTTTAGTGGCGCGTCCCCTGGCACGTCACTGTGCCACTGTGCGGCGCGGCGCAGCACAGAGAAGCGTAACGCAGCCCCTGGCACAGTAGCATCGCCATCGGTACCTGGCACGTTCCCTGGCGCCTCCCCTGGGCACGTCGCGCGACGCGTCCCCTGGCACGTCCCCTGGCACGTCCGCTGGCACGTCCGCTCGCACGTTCCGTGGCGCGTCCCCCTGACTCGTCACGTGGCGCGTCCCGTGGCGTGTCCCCCTGGCACATCGCGCGGCGCGTTGGCACGTCCCCTGGCACGCCGAATGGCAAGTTCCGTGGCGCGTCCTCTGGTACGCCACTGTGCGGCGCGGCACAGCGCAGAGCAGTACAACACAACCCCTGCCACAGCGTCATCACCATTGATATCTTGAGCACTACCACTGCCCATCGCTCAATTGAGGTGCTTGGAAACGTCTCCATTCCTCGCAGTTCGTAATCCCTTTCGGGGTTCGTGGGTCGATCATGTTTTGTGCGCGTCGCGTGCAACATCGGGAGACGTCGGGCCTCTTGCGTGTACAGTCAGTAATGGGAGCGCTCAACTCGAATGGGCTGCAGCTGATTGGAACTGCGCGAATTCTGATAGATCATTCGACCACACGTGAAGAATGAAGGCTCAACATCTGCTAGCTAGCTACATGAACAGGTTTCACGTTTCACTTCGATTGCATTTTAAGCCAGTCAGCTGGTAGCAGAAGTTGCGATGCTATAGTTGCGGGGGCGACTTCGGATCACGCTGCTGCTTGAATGCATGCATCTCCCAAGAGTAAGGCTGGAGGCGAAGGTCCTCGCATCTCACGAGTGATCATGCGGACGCTAGAGGCTGGTGCTCATTTGGCAGTAGTGTCTCGCGCGATGTCCCCTCCTCTCGGAAGCTACTGACCGATGGCAAGAGTGCCTGGTGCCGGTGGCTAGAATGTAACACATCGTTTCGCCGAACTACTCGTCTGGCTTGTGAGTGGAGGGCAGGATTGCCTGCGCTCCCTGCTGGACATACAAGATTTTATCATATTCGGATGGTCACCGCTCGCATGCGTTTGCCTGGGGGCAATAGCTCTTGTCTGCTCTTGTCTCTCGGAGACGCTCTTTCCAATGATTCGTGGGTTGATCAGGCCTTTAAGCGTGGGGCGTTTTAAGTGAACGTCGGCCTTGGTCGCAGAAGACTGGCTTGCGCTAGGGCTGTGGCGTTTCTGGGCACTCATGTTGCAGGCGGCTAGCTTCTGGAGAACCTGAAGCTTTACATTGCATGGCAAAAGGTGTATAGTGCGATGAACGAAGCAGGTGTGGGAATGCATCTTGACGGCCGGTACTTTCATTGATGGGCTAAGTCGGAGTTCTCCCTGAAGACCGGGCCGTTCACGACAGGTGATTTGGCATG